TTACTATCACACCGTGACCTAGCATGCTGAGGGCCAGATCCAGATGCAAGACAGGACAATGGAAAAGTTTTCCAAAATCTCAGTGTGAATGGGCTGGAGTCTTTAAAACTTACAACTTTCTGCAGGAGCTCCAACTTAAAAACAAATAAGAAATACCAAACGATAGAAAGTATGATTTTGAAGTCCTGCTGTGAAACCAGGAAGGGAAATGAATTAGCTTTCTTCTAGATGTTCCTCACAGATGAAATTCAGTGTTTCTGCTCCCTCTGCAGTGCCTGACAGAAAGTACCTGGGGCAGGAGGTTGTGCCTTGCTGGAGGGATGGAGACCACCTACAAGTGTCAGCTGTGCCTCAGTCTCCTCCACCTTTGTGCCCTGTTTGCAATTATTTGGTTTTAAGACTCATTGCTTTCAGATACTTCTAGGAACTTACATATTTTAACGTAGCTTTGAGTAATGAAAGCTCCAGTCAGGAAAGGCTAGGAGCAGTAAGCCAGAACAAGCAAGCCTGCCAGGACTAAGAATGAAACATCCTAGGCTTTCCTAGGGACCTTTTTCCATAGATATTTAGAGAAAACAGTGATTGTACTCAGAGAAAACTAGCTTCCTGGGGCTGATCCGCCATTAGAATTAACTTGCCTCTTGCAGAACTCATAGCTGGATGGAGACCTGTGATTTGTTAGTTTTACTTAATCTTTAATGTTACTATTTTGGGATTTTGTGAACAGTTTTCCCACATTTTGCCTTTAGGGATGCTACTTCATCCCATTGTTTGGCTGCACAGTGTGCATGTTGTTCTCATGGTGTTTATACAACCATGTCTAAGCTCTGAAATACATGAGCATCTGTAATTAGGCTCCCACAGTGTGAGCAGACAGATTTTTGGAAGTGCTACACACCCAGTAGCTCCTGCTGAAGTCAATAACCTCTTAGGTAGATGCAGACACAGGGAATTAGGCAACCATTGCAAGAAAAATCTTGGTCTGTCATTTTAGTCAAGTTGTATTTAATGCTGGTCTAAGAAGTGCTTATTGCTGCAGTGACGACTGAGTTTTGTGTCCTGTGACATGTATGAATCCTCACACTCCCTCCAGCCAGACTCCCTAGGCAGTAAGTACGTTTCGGGATCAGAATTCCCAGCAGTGCTTCTAGTCTTTCTTGCACGGTAATATGATTTCTTACTATGACTTCGGAGAACAGCGCTGGCAGATATTTCCTATGAAACCTGATGCTGATGTTTTTCGGGTTTGGATGAGCTGTGATAATTCACCTTCAGTAGAAGCGCAGTTCCTCTGGCTATCCTTATCCTCAGCAAACATGTTCTGAGATGCTGGGTGATAAAATACCCGTTTTCTAAGCTTCTTTTGTTGCACCCTGCTGTGAAATGAGCTACTGCTTTTAGGCATTAATCATATCTGTGCTCCTTTCCATGTATTCTGATGCTACCGTGCATGCTACAAGGGGATTTCTCCCTCTGACGTGCTCTAAGATCTTTGGCATTTGTTTTCAAGCAAAATCAGGAGCTGGAGTTGAGGTAAATGATGCATTTGCAACCCACTTTATTTCTTCCCCTAGGTGCTTCAGCTCAGCCAAAATTTTCTGAGATGTACTTGTAGGGACAGATTTCCAGACAGCATAAACTGATGTAACTCATTCAGGAGCTTTACATCTTCCCAGGAGCTTGTTCTTTGTTTCTTCACTGAGTATCTTCTTCTTTTCAACACACATTCTTTTCTTTCACAGATCACTTTCTTATCATTGGTGATTTTTCCTTAACACTGCTTTTACTGATGTCAATCATATCAACTTTCAAACACTGATATTTCTTGCACTTAAATATATACCGCCATATTTTGCATTAATAGAAACATGGCTTTGGAATTAAAAGAGCATTGATTATATTGCACAAGAAAAATCAAAAAGTTGAAGACTGAGAGACAATAATGTGACAGTGTTTGGCTGGTTGGTTTAGGTTGTTCTAGGTAAGCTTCCTTCTTTTTAAAGCTGTGAGTCTGAGTACCACTGCGGTCGGAAAGGTCTTTAAACCCAGTGTTACTGCAGCTGACTTGGGAAGTGCCTGACCATTCCACTTGTTGGAGACTGAGAGAGAATATCCAGGAGAGGACCCTCCTACCCCTGCTCTGTTTTTGTATTTCTCCCTAGGCTTCTGCTGCACACCACCGTTGCAATCCAGATACCAGCGCAGTCCTCCAGCTTTGCATTTTTATACTCAACTGAGTCTTATTTCCCACTGATAATCTCCAGAACTGGACCCTAATGAGAATAAGAAATATTTCTGACACGTACTTGCTAACCATCCCCCCCCCCCAATCCCTGATTTTTTCAGTAAAAAAAGCTCCAGTTAGTCTTGCTAATTCTCAGTCTTCTGGTGGGAAGAAGAGGGAACTACTAAATATGGACCAGTTTATCTGCTGTCCTCAGGACCACTTTGTCCTCGAGCTTACCATTACAATCTTCTCTGCATTCAGTTTTCCATTATTAGGAAAGGACGTTCTTGCTGGGGGTTTCTGTCATTAATACTCTGACACACATTCTTTGCAGCACGATGACTTACCCTTGTGATCCCGCCTTCTCGAGGTATGCCCTCTGGTTTTAATCATTTCTGTTTGTTAATTTCTGGTTTTAACTTCCTAAGCAGACTGCTGTTGGTGTTTATGTGCACCTTCTGTTTGTTCTTAGAGTATTTCTCATTGCTTTGGGAAATGACCTAGGGAGGACTTTAATATCTCAGTTAATCTCAATGGGCATCTTCTTATTTTGCTTCCATTCTGCCTGCAGACTGGATACAGAACTAACATTTCTCTGCCTGTGTAATGCACATGCTAAGAACTGCAGACATGTGGATGTTACCCTTTGTTGTGATGCTTTCTGTAGGTTGTGTGTACCTTACAAAGTAACTCCTGAATGCTTTTACTGCTTTTTCAGTGCAGTAGGACAACATGGCTTTCAAGCACAGCTACTCAGTTCTCCTCCTATGTGGAGCTGTAAGCTGGGGATGCAGCTAGGAAAATGATCTGATTAAACAGCACTTCTTTGTAGCGACTTTTATTTCTCAGTAATCTGCATTTTTACACACCTAATGCTAAGCATTCCAAATGCCTTTCTGAATGGCAAGCATGGCTTTAAACAGTCCTGTGAAGGTGTCTTGTTTCTTTCTGTTAGCACTATAAACTGTGCCTGGACTTGTAGTGGTTTATCTGTATTTTCTACTCATGTTCTTCTGGGGAAGGGAAGGCTCGTGCACATTTACACCTTTCGGGAGATTTGTTTTCCCAAAACAATGCTATTTACACTGAAATTTTTTTACATCTATTTACATTTTCCTGTGATTCTGGAATAAGGTACAGATTTATAAGATTATTTAAATATAGAAATTTATTTTGGACCTCCCATAAACCTAGGTTTAAGTGCCATCCAGAACTGGGATCTTAAGAAAGTCAGATTCGGAATGGGTCTGAACTGCAATCAATTCTTTGCTCATAGCAGCCTTCCACGCCCCCCCTTAGATTAAACTGCTTTCCGAGGAACCAGAGAACTGCTGGCATATGGTTCTGCTATTTGGGAAGGATTACTACCCCTATACCAGTCCTGGACGTTTGTTTGTTCTTTCATTAAAATTGATGCACCTCTCCCTACAAAAGAGTTTTGGAGGTGATCTGAATCTTTGTTGGAGATCCCTCTGAAAGGATTATGCACTGGTTAAAATTGACATTAAATGTCTTAATACTGATTTATCATAATCCCTGAAAGCCATTTTGGCTTTGTTCCTACTCACCAAAAGTATGACTCACTAACTTTATCACCAGATGAGTGGGCTACGGCCCATCCTTGCTGCCCTTATTCAGAAGCTCTTGAAAGCTGGAAATAATGCAACATGCACTATCCTCAGTATTGCCTCAGCCACAGAATTGGCTCTAGTTTAGAGAAGAAAATGGTGCAGTTACCATGTATACTGACAGCCGGCAAAGCGCTGACTTTCAGTGGAGCTGACTTTAATGTCTCCAACAGAGGTAATGAATTTATGTTGGTAACAAAGATTGACCTGAACCTACAGTTAAGCCTAAGTATTACTTTGAATTTTCATATGCTACTGCAGTTTCTGATTCTAATGGGGAATGATGTTGGAAGTTCAAAAGTAACATTAAAAAAGTTTAATAGAGTTTTGGACCTCCTAGCATAAAGAAGTCAAGGAATTTTCATTAAAAACCCCATTTTCTTGTGATATTTCAGGCCCAGCTGTGCACATCATAGAACTTATGTAAATACCTGACATTGTCACACCATACTTTAGAGTAAGACCTGATCTCAATTTTAAAAAAGAGCTTTTTGTCTTTGAAATTATCTTTGGATAATTTATTTTTACTTCGTTTCAGTAGTGAAATAAGGTTTCTATAGTGTCTAAATGACTCACACTTTTTGAACTATGCAAAAAGTCCCAGAAGTCCTTCTGAAACAAAAGATGAGAATGGATCCTGCTTTCTCACCACAACGAGCAAAGCTCCTTTTTTCTTCAGAGTTGGCTTCTACTTGATCATCCACGTATATTGACAGAGAAAATATAATGGGTGAGGTTGTCAAAGAAAGAAGTACTTTCTTGTTAATGCTTTGAATTTAAACCCGAGCCACTGAATTGCATGGCAACAAGATCATCTACTGTGATTAAAAATGTGCAGAGAAGTACCAATAAAGGAAGAAAAGGACAGCTACGGACAGATCAGCAACTCCCAGCACACTCAGAGATGTCCCCTAAAGGGTTCAAAGTGCCTCCTCCAATGCACATCTTATAAGCCTTTGCCTGTGTCTGAAGGGCAGCAGATGACAGTAAGTCCAACTCTACTCAGGTAAACACTCGAGCCCATATTTAATGCGCCCTAGGACATTACAATATATAAATATCTGCAATTACTACTTAACTCAAAAGCAATATAATTAATTTATATAGGTTCATGCACATAGAAAAATGTAAAGATGAAAACCCACCATATTCTGGGACCTGGCCTGTTCCACGTTTCAACAACAGTCGCACTCTCCTGCCACCAGACTTGATTAGCTCTATTGCTCTGGCATGTGTCATGTCCCTTGTGCTTTCTCCATTGATTTCAATTATTTGATCTCCTACCTGTCAGGTAAGAAGAATATTGAGTCAGACAGAATTGCAGTAAAATGAGCGTTTCAGAAAGAGACATATTCGATGGATCACAGGTTACCTGAATGACAGACAGACACATCAAGGTAAATTTGTTCCTGTCTGTCTGAGGGATATTACTGACAGATTAAATAACCTCCAAAGTGGTTTCTGAGTGTGGTATATCAAATGCTGCTCATCTTCTGCTGAAATCAGTGTAATGTGTTTGTAACTCGCCTCCTATCTTCTACATGTAAGAGGTTTTTTTTTTAAATTGTTTGATACGTTGGAATCACTGGAAACATTATCTGTGCTACACCTTGACTTGCAGTTTGTGTGTGCCCAAGAAGACCTTTGCTCCGTTTAACTTGTTTTCATAGAGAAAACAGAGGTTCAAAGCACAAATACAAAGATATGTCATTTGAATATCCAAATCTTGGTATTAAAGTTTCATACCAAATTAAGAGTTGTTATGAAGCAAGCTATTAAACAAAGAAAGGTTGGGCTATGGCACAGGACATGCAGATTTGCTGGAGTTCTTACAAGAGCATGCTTTGAATGATTTATCCATAGGTGTTTTTTGCTTGGAATAAGCACAGCCCCTGGCTGAGCTGTCTAGTCAGAGCAGCTGACACCAGGGCTCTGATTACAGATTTCTGCCACTCACCTCCTGATCAGCTTTCCAGTCTGAGTTAGCTTCATTATTATTTTTCTGCCTCTATTTCTACAGCTGTAAAATGGGGCATTGACGTCTGCATCTCCCATCCTCCCCAATCTCCCTCTCAGCTTTGCCTCCCACCGGGCTGTTTTGGTTTTGCTCTTCTCTCCATGAGAAGGGCTGGCTTTTGACGATGGAAACCCTCTCCATGAATAGGGGAGCGGTTGCTTTCCTCTGCGCCCGCTCAGCAGGGCAGACAGTATGCGTAGGGAGCAGCAGCCGCACAGCTTGTTCGGTGTTGCCATCCCACAGCCACCCACTTCTTTTGTCAGACATTTAAACAAGCGCTGAGGTGACTTGTGAGCCTCATGTTAGTGACACCACAGCCTTCGGAGTCCCTGTTTTGCAGCTGCATTGCAGAAGCCTCCCAGCCTCATCGGAGGGGTGACCCAGGTGAATCCCAGAAGGAGGGTTGATCTGGCACGGGTAGAGGTGTGGGTCCAGGTGATGGGCAACCAAGAGGGGTGTGTGAGGGTCTCAGTTGAGGGGGTTCAGCAAACTCGTTTCTCAGTGCCAGAGGAGCACATCTGCTCAGCAGTATCACACCTGCCTCGGTCTGTATCTACGGCTTCCTCACCGTGCGTATCCACTACACTAAAATAACAACACTGCGTACATCCTAGAGAGGGCTTTAAGGAGACTATACAGATTTCAAGATGACTGGCACTTCCCTTTCCTCTTACAAGCCTGTCTTGACAAAACCAGCTCTTTGCTGGCCTTGGACATTGAAATGTTTTCTGTTTGTACGTTCTCTTTGCTACTATTGTATTTCTGTCAACTAGAAGTGTAATCCTTCAGAGGCTTTCCTTCCTTCCTGAGTTTGAAATACAGTGTTTACCAAATAAATGTGCATAATATGAAATGTCAACAAGACTCCTGGCATCAAAGAAAACTGGAAGGGATGTCAAGAAGTTACCTAGTCCCTACTTCTGTTCAGGGGCAGAAAGAATGCTACTAAAAGCACTATGGCAGTGTTTCTCAATAGGAATTCATACTTTGTCAATAGGAGTTGCAGTCTATTTTAAGAACTCTCTCAGGATCCTGTACGCAATCTATGCCAGTACTTAACTGAAAAGCCATTGATCTGAATAAAACCTCTCAGCCTTGCTATCACACTTTGTCAATGCTGCAGACGGAGCAGTGGGGGGAAAAAAAATCAGGATTGTTTTGTGCAAAAAGGCCTTATTGTTGCAGTGCAAATTTCTTCCTTAGCAGATTTTTCTCTGTTAGGAAGAATACATTTGGCTGTACCATGCGGTACGCATGTTTAGACATTTGTGATGACCCCCAGGCCACAGTGATGCACAGTGCAGATGCCCTCTGGATCGTGGAGAGCTCTCCCCCAGGTTTGGCCATGCAGGGCTGTTTTTGCACTACTCTGACTTTTGGAGTGGTTGGTAGGATGTAGTTGCTGCACACACTCGGAGCAAAAATGCAAAATGTCTCTTACCACTTCTGTTACACAGACAGAAGATAGATTTGTAGCATCCCCACAAGGAAACTAGTCAGGCCAAATATAGACAAAATTCAACTGGTTTGGGAAAACCTGTTTCTAAATGTCGTGAAACAGTTAAACCCTGGTAGAAATCCTATAAAAGTAAACTCAGAATTTCCAAAGGCTTAGACAGCTCTTTTTCTGTGTCATGTTGCCTGGATAGACCGTGTTTTGCAGAAGGTATTTAAAGTGATCTTGTTAGCATGTTTTGAGAGAAGAAGTGCCAGATTAGATCAAATGAAGGAGGTGTTTTTAACACTCCTTGATAAATAGTCTTTAAAATGAGTACTGATGAAAGCTGCACAGAGCACATACAGTCCTTCAAATAATATCCTCTGCACTCAGAGCAGAAAGACAGAAAAAGATTTTATGCAGTTTAATATGTAAAAGGTTAAGTTAATGTCACATTTTCCCCCTGCTGTTTGCCTTTCTTCTGTTCTTATTGGTCAGTGTGCAGGAACTATCTTGTACGAATGTAACCTTTTCTGTATTTCAGTGGTTTAAAATATTTTTTTTCTCTGTAGGCAGCACATAGCTGATTTGATAGTTCCTTTTATTATACAATCTTATGTGCAAATAACCTGGGAAAGCTTAAAAAGGCCAGTATCTTGAGGGGACAGAAACAAGTCTGTAAAAATTAGGTGCTCTGAAATTTACATCAGAAAGTGTGAGACCAGAGGTAAAATGAATAGTTGTAGGAGCAGCAGGTTAATTGTGTTCCATGCATTTGTGTCTTTGTGGCTGACTGATGTTTAAATGAATTATACTGCCTTTGCAGCACAAGCCCAGCTCTGATTAGATAAGAAAAACAAGAAGGAAGAGAAGCGTTGCCAACACTCTTACCCTGAGAAAAGCGTCAATTAGACCTTACACTCGTATCTGAGGAATTCATACAAAAGTGAAAACTTTGACTGAGGATTGGTTCCCCGTGTGCCTAATAGGGTACAAATTCCTGGTCTTATTTTTCCTGCAGTTAAACATTTAAAACCTTCCCTTCCTCCTCCTTGCCGATGTAGATTCTCTTATGTCTGATATGGGAGGAAACCATGCTGTATGCTTTCTCTCCACCCAGGCATTCAAATGTGCTTGCTCTCTCGTCTTCTCTGTTGTGGAATAGATTTTTAGATATTGTAGAGCTCTTTCTGTCTTTTTTAAGTGTAGTGATTGTTTAAGAGGAGCTTAGATATACCCGTATATTGAAGATGCACCAAGGTGAGGCCAGAAGTAATGGTAAGCATAGAAACAGGTCCAAAAAGAACCCAGTGCCTGTTATATGGGATCCTCATTGCTCTCTTTTCAGGATCAAAACTTGATTCCTGCAGTTTTATACCACACATGAAATTTCTTTACACTTCTGGATCTTTCCAAGTCTGTCCACAGTCTCCAAACTGTGGTAGAAATGCTTATTAATAATGTTCCCAGAATGAGACCTTTGACTTTTTGTAACACATCAGATTTGCAACTCACCATTAGCTTGAATTCCGAGATTATCCCCAGCAGTATTGTCTAGGCAGTTATCCCCCATTTAACATTGTCCATCTGATTTTTCTGCCTTAAACCGAGCACAGTGCACCTTGGTGAATTTTATCAGATTGGCTGCTTTAGTATGAAATTTTAATTTTGAAATCTAAGTTCCTCAAAGTCCTTTTAAAACCTCTATGAATAGTGACACCTTGGCATCAACAATTTTTATTTTATTATTTATCACTAGGTCTCCAATTATTAATGAAATTATTGAATCAAGCTGGTTTCATCCTAGACCACTCAGAACTACACTTGTAATTTCACACTTGTAACTACTCTTGAGTAGCAAATCATTCAAAGCAGCCTTTGAGAGGGATTATTTGCAGCAACCACTTTACAGTGATTCCACCTAGAGTCTACTTCCCTATCCTTTTTCTGTGAATTTCATACAAGGTGGTGTTGAAAGGTGAAAAGAAGATGCCTTACACATTGTCCTTCCTCTTTTTCCACAAAGAAATAAAAATGAGAATCAGAAATAAGAAACAAAAATTAGATTGGTGTGACAAAATTTTCTTGCCACAACTTACGTGTTGGTGGACTTTTTTAACTTCTTGATAACTTGTCACAGATTATTTCTGAGAATGAAAGTTAAAGGAACTTTTCTCTACTCTTTGACTTTAAAAACAGGGAATACGTTTTCCTTTTTCTAACCTGCTACTAACTTTCTTGTACTCCATGAATTCTTGGACATAATTACTAAGAGTCTAGAAGTTACTTTCTCTTGAGTGTACACATTGAGTATACACGAACATCAGCAGGTTCAGCTGACTTGAATCTAACTATGCTTTAAGCAGTTTTCTCCTTATTCTGATTTATACTAATTACTCATTGTTGAAGTTGATACAAGTTTATGGTCCTTCTGAACATCTCAATAAAGACTGATACAAAGAAAGCACCGAATATTTCAGCCTTCTCCACATTCCCAGCAAGCAATGGACCTAGTTTTTCCTGTTCTTCATCTTTCTTTTAATATATTTATGTTACCTTTTCTTGTTACTTTTTATACTTTCCTTGCAGACTGCTTGGATATCATTCTGACACATTTAATTTTCCCTCTGCATCAAGTGGGACACCAGCCACCTAACAGGTGTTGCAGCATCAAGCTTTGAGTGTTTAAATCTTTCATTGTGTATGACCCTGTGGCATTAGCTCCTTTCATGGAAAGTGACACATTTGAATGTCAGACCATTATTTTTAAGAGGCACTTCAGCAAGCTGCCTTCTGGGGAGATATAAAGCTTCTCAGATGAAACACCAG